ATGTACTCTTCGATGTTTGAAGAAGATGTTCATAATAGAGAATCCGTTGTTTGCACAAAACCGCAGCAACTTCATGCCGTTATTTTTGAGTCGCTAGGTCCATTTTTCCAATTACGCCGTTCCACTTTTCAGCGTCTACCCCGACATGTGCATCAAAATCTCCCATGAGTATGAGGGACTCTGTATTCGGCACTTTGGACATAACACACTGCACTTCCTCAAGGAAAATATCATATTCTCCTTCCAGATTGGGCGTATAGGCCTGTACCAACATGAACACCACTTTAGCCTCTTGTAGCTTCAGCTGGAAGATTACCATCCTTCCTTTGATAGCGTTTGAATCAATGATTCTATCTGCGAGTTTTGATTCTACCAAAACACCAACACCGACCTGACCGCTCGTCGTGATGTCGACATCTGAGTAGAATGGCTTCCACCCGCACAGGTTCAGGATTCCCGATCCTTTACACATCGTTGACGAGAGTCCGACAATGTCTAGTTGATACTTTATGGCCTCATCAACCAATTCTTGTTCTTTTCCTCTGAGTGAGGATATGTTCCAATTTCCGACATTAAGCTCCCACTGGTGGTGTCGTTTTCGTGGAGCCTTTTCTGACATGCTGTAATGGCATCGCGTTGTCTGCCTCCTCCGTTCAGAACGGGTGGCGACTCCGTTGCTCACTGGTATCTTCGTCGTCGTTCCATCGGTGTTTGTCAGTCGTTGTTGTGCGTGACGCTCCCTGCTGGCAGAGGGCAATGAGCAGATTCTTATCGCCTCATTTTCGCAGTCTGCTTCAATCTCCAACATCCTGCGCTCCCCTTAGTAACCCGGGCGAAGACCGAGCTGATACAGATTTAGATGGCGTCCATACCATGAGTGGCAGGTGGCTAAATTTTGCGGAGACTTTACCATGATCTCCAACCCTCTTCCTTTCTCAGCCGAGCTTGGGACCGAAAACGACGGAGTTAATAACTATTGCTGACTATCTTTTGTGTCACTATTTTCAGATCGAGGGAAGCTATCATCTGATTCTATTTCGAAAGGTGACTATCCCTCCAGGAATATGGTCAGCTACGAAGATGCTAGCCATTACTAAACCATGCATGAAAGTTCGCTTATTTATTTGCTTACCTTTTATGTGAATTATGTAAACTTCGTTTTATTTACGATTGTCCTGCGTCGATGTTAATTTCTTTGCACAGGTGTTTTCTGTTATTCCTCATCCATGCTTTGCTACAGCTCGTGACAACATTAGACTCTTGTT